GATACTTTTCCCTACTTTCTTTCAAGCACTATTTGTATTTTAATTTGCTATATAGTAGAGGTCTGCACCGGCCGGCTGCAGCCGCGGCTGGCTGCAGCCCCACGGCTGTGGGCCGGGGCGGCTGCAAATATCTCCAAGAACACGGCTACGGCTGTAGCCACGGCTGTGAGATTTCAAGCTCAATCTTAAGTACTCAAATATAAAATTTTAAATCCTTAATCTTGCATTCTGATAAGCAGTCAAGCCTGTAAAAATCATGCAAAGGATGCCCAGCAACATTGAAAGTGGTGAAGCCTTTAAAACCTGTAATGGTTTTACCATTTGCTGTAGGGGAGTTTGCACTCTGGTACAGAATACTAATTATAGGTACTAATTGTTCCTTCATCATCAAGAGCTTGACAGTTTCAGAAAATGCAACATGTTACATTGTCACATCCCTCTCAAATCAATCTCACCTGGTCATTAGGAGAGCACCTGACAGCTATTGAAGACGAGCATTCAGTAACTCTTTCAGGTAATAGAACAAGAAATCACGCCTAGGTAAAGGCAGGTAAAGGCTTCATAAATATTATCTAAAATAACTCTTAGATGTATTTCTGGATTTTCGGCAAGTCCAATTACATAATATAAAACTGGCGCTTTATGTTCTAACTGGTGTGTGAGTGACCGCTGACAGAAAATGCTGATCGACGAAGCCAATGGAATTAGATTATAAGTGAGCATGAACCTTACTTACGGTTAATTCACATGATGGTGAAAACCCTGAACACGTAATTCACATGACGATGAAAACCCTGAACACAATATTTCTTACGCGAGCTGTTGACTTTACTAATAAAATGACGTCTTCTTCGGAAAATGTAAAAATTTGATACACAATCTTTGTTTGAGAGCAATTTTTTTAATTTATAACATTATTAATTATTAATTAATATTTTGATGGCTGTTTATAGTGATAAAAAACAATTTGTTGCCACTTCTTTGCTATTGACGTCATTAAAAACTCAAGTAAAATTTGTATTGAATGAGGCAAATGTGGCTCGCACGTCCTTGGGGATTTGAGCGAAGATCATTATTTGGAAAAATCAAAATAGATGTACGTTTTTCTTTCTTGGATGCTCACTAGTGTTTTGATGCCTTGCATATCAAATTAGTTTGAGACTTGCTCAGAAGGCTGCTTCAAGCCTGGCATATCACACGCCAGAAAATATGCAAGGTAAGAAAGAACATGACAGAAGCAAGAGTTTTGACTAGACAATCTCTGTTTCACAGTCCATCAACTTCAGTTTCATTTTCCATACCTAACATTGATAATGAAAAGCATCAGGGTCTGTTTTTCTGTCCCCCAACCATGCTTCAGGATTTGGCATTACCTAGATGTCTACACTGCTAGTGCTTCTATTCTGGTTCGTTGTTTATGTCTTCTGTTGATGTAGGTACCTACCTACCCATCTTTCTTAACCCCTTGCAAGGGCTTGTGTAGGCATGCGTTGTGGATCAGGCTTGAGGCCTTCGGCCTAAAGCCATATACACAACCACTTAACCTATGATGCTTCATGAGCTTGAGAACCTATAGCCCATTGCAATGTGCTTTTGGCTATATGTTTCAACTAAAAACAACTTATTATATACTATTTGGTTGCATTTCATTGAAAGTATCCACGGCCGGCTGACGGCTGGCTGCCCACAGTTTGCCACGGCTGTGGGCGGCTGTGGCTGTGGAGCCACGGCTGCGGGGTGGCTAGGCTGTGGAAAATTGCAGCCGTGAAGAACTCTACTATATAGCATGCTGAATTACAAAAGGCCTTTTGAAACTATCATAATATGACAATTTTAACCTAAAAAAACCTTCCATAGCGTTTTCACCGAGGGAAGAATTCAGGTACATCGGTCATTTATTTTCTATTTATATTTTTGCAGTGCCGGTGCAGGATCATGTTATCCGCCACTGATCAATGTCTGCTAATCCTTACAGGACTTGGAGGATCCTTAGCAAACCGTTATACTCGAGCAACGCAACAGTATTACATTGTAATCAGCTCAGTATATTTTATTTAACAAAATACCAGCGCGAGCTAAGCCGATTGGCTGCCATTTTATCGCACCGTCACTGCTGAAATCTAAAGAAATATACAGCAATGACGGCGGATATTTGTTAAGCTTGGCACGTGCTGTTCATTGGATATCCACCGTTCAGACTCAGAAGAAAATCGACCCGAGATACCGATGGGTTGCATTTATTTTGTAATTCAGCTGCTTCTTCAATGTACCACGTGGCAGAGTTTTGACTAAACCATCAATCAGCTTCACTGGCGTGAGCACCAGCATAATGCAATGCTATTACATTTAGTTGGCTTTGTTTTACAGCAATGCAGAGTGGAGGACGGACAGATTGCCTTGGTGCTTGGACAGATATGAAAAATAATGGTATAGCTCATCGATTCATCACTTTTTCGTTGGTCGTCTGGACAGATGGCAAGGTCCACCGCTGTCGGCTCGTAGGAGCACCTGCCGTACGGCTGCCGTTTTTGCACTTCAAAGGAGAAACCGGCGATAGGTTTGTTGGACATATTTACATATGCAGCTTAAAAGTTGTCCCCAAAAAATATCACATTTGTTCGTTTCATGAATCATTGTTGCTTTGATTTGTCTCGCAGATGACGGGTTACCTAGCCCTGGTGGCAGTTTTTTTTTACAATGCTGCTTTGATTTCTAAATGCAACCTTTAAAGGTTCGATGGGCTCGATAAGCGGCTCTATTATTTTACGTTCATTTACAATTATGTCGTGTGATTAGGGAATGATTGACAACTACACCGAGGGTTTGTACTGGAAAATATATGACCGCCTTCAAGCGTGAATGAGATGTGGCACAAGGGTCTCAATGCCTTTTGTGCTTCGTTGACTCTTTGCAATCTCCTTTGAAATACACATGACCGTTCAAAGTTTTACATGAAGGCATTTACAACCTTCAGCTAAAAAGGAATAGCTGGTCGAAACCCGTATTTCTGGTTTGACTTGTTTTTCTGGTTTGTATTTCTGGTTTGACTTGTTTACCAGGCCTGATCGATTTCCGTTATCAGAATGCATAGCGAGTAAATCGTTCAACAATCCGGTCGATTATTCTGTTCATGATCAAAAATACCTGTGCAAAGGGTTGCATCACTGTTTCCGAAGACCGTATTTGTTTTCGTCAAGCGCATGCCTTCGCCGGAGTGATGCACTATCACTATACCAGAAGCTCTTCACCGCTTGAAGAATATCGGCTGATGTTATATGTAATCAAATTATTTACCCACTTCTCAGCTGACTGTGCATTCACTATTTTAGTGCGCACAGCTCAAATAAGCGATGTAACGGCTAAGTCAACAGACCTGCGTCCTTTATCGCCATATCATTGAGCCTTATCCTTAATAAATATGCAAATCGTCCTACCCTACCCTATCGTGCAGCGCGCCGAGCGGCGTCTCATCAGGCGCGCTTATCTGGCGGTTATACGCGTCGTAACGACGGCCCGCAATCACAAGACGCAGCAGAGGCCCTCGCTAATTGTCTGGGTGGCCGCGGTGCCCGTTAGTGGGTATGCCCCCGGGCGGTTTGGAGTTATAGGTGACCGTAGTTATGGGCGGCTATTGTCGAGAGGCGCCGCCGACATGGGTGGCGACGCGCAGAGGATGAACTCCAGTGGTCATTCTCGTTTAGTCCCACACTGAATATCGGTCTGTCCTTCGCCAAAGGTGGCTGAAGATCACTCTGACTGCAGAAATGATAACATTGAAACACACAGTGGGTGACTTACGCAAGAATTGGGGGGAGGGGGTCGATGACTTAGATGAAGCTGATTCTAAATTCTATTTGAAATATTTTTTTTTTACTCAGCAGGTGAAGAAACATGCATTATACGCTACTAATTTCCTTTAATCACTGCGATTTTATAAATGCGTGGATAACTGAGTGGAAATGAGATTTGCGTAACTCAGCGTACAGAGAACTTGGGAATACACACCGTTTTCCCGCAGCTTCTGATGCGGCAGCAATTTTCAGCTCGGTCTGCCGTCTCGTGTTGTGTAATGTAACTGTGGGAATTTCTATCAGTGCGTTCCTCTGACGAAATGTTGTATGCCGTCAGGGCGCATCCTTGCAGTCATAGTGATTGAAGGATGATGTACAAAATGGCCAGAACCAAAGAGAAAAAGGAAGCATTTAAAGTAGATGTTATTCACTCATTCGGTATATTCAGACGCATTAAAGTTGGCATCGCTTTAAAAACACATTTAACAGAAATGGTCGCGCTTTTAGCGCGTCCTTCTAGCTTCTGACACGTTCGAGTGTTTTTAGTCGGTCGCTTTTTCCAATTTATGAATAGGCCCCTTACCCCGAAATAAAACCTAAACCCAGCATTGACACCCGTTCATTTAACTTCACCGCTTTACGCTACTTTATATGCAAGTGGCTCGTGTTTCCAAAGAAGGGGAAGCCGCCGATCCCTTTCTAACCAGCTCGCCACAAAACCCACACAATCAATGAATGGTCGCGGATTGCCCGGCCGCCTCCAATTAACTCCTTCTAATAAAACTGCCGCGCTACGGTCAGGACAACCCGCGACCCTTCGCGGCATTGTTCGCGCCCCGCTGACTGCGCGCGCATTGTTCGCGGGTCACTTCCGCGCCAGTTCCCTCATCTAACCCAACTTCGCGCGTACGGCGCGCCACCCCGCGTGCCACCACCGCCGCCGCGGCGGGTCAACTGATCACCCCCCGCAAAAACCCGCAGGCCGCCGCGCGCGTGCGCGCTCCACCAATCACCACGCGCGCTGCGACGGCCGCCGCGTGACGTCTCGGCGTCAACCAATGGGCGTGTCGGCGGCGCGGCACGCCCGCTCGTCGCGCGGCGGCGTGCCGACGGGCCGGCGGCGCCCGAGGCAGCGCCGCGGGCGGTGCGGCCCGCCGGCGGCCGAGGGTTGCCGTCGGCGGCGTCGCGGCCGCTCAGTCGTCCGACCGAGCCGGGTGCCACGCGTGGCCGAACACCGCTCCCAGGTGCCGCCGACGACGGACGTGTCGCCCAGACGTGCTGAGGACGTGCTGAGGACGTGCGCAGGACGTGCTAGAGACGTGGTAGAGACGTACAGGGACGTAGCGCGCGAGCGACTGTGGCTGCCGCCGGACAGTGTCGGAGCGGGGCGAGAGCGCAGCGCTCAGGTTGATGACGGATTTTCCACAAGCGGTGAGTGTGAACTTTGACTTTTTCCGGTGGCGGATTTGTTATGTTTGTGGGATCACCTCCCTGCGTTCTGGCTATGGTGCGGAGCGGTGCTATTTCCTAACCCCCAATGAGCCATTATGCCCTAAACGAAACACAAATTTCACAAAATACACATTTCAAAATGATGCGTCGCTCAGTCACTGGCAATTAAAAATGCAGCTATGGACTGGATTTAGTTTGTACGACACCGGCGCTCATTGCAGTAATTAAGATGTTGAGATGCCAAAAGCTCAGATGAAGATCTAATGTGAAGACGATACCCAGGTGTTGCCTATTAAATTCACACCGCTAAGAAGGATGAAGTACCGAGCCTTCTACATTAGATACTGTTATCTCTAGATAAGACACAATGGAAGCGTAATAATCCTATCGTAAATAGAATCGATGGCCTCTTTTGCTGAAATTGACAAATGAGCGACCAGACACCTGCACAAGACCAGTGACACATCTCTGTAACAGGCGTTGAAGCAACAGGTAACATAAATATTGTTAAATGTCACGTAAGACGTGAATTCAAAGTATAAAGACGTAACTACCACGCAGACATTTAATGCATTTTTTATTTTAAGCACGAAAAGTACCCCTAGGAAATGAGGTCACAAATACCTGCTGTTAATAGCCTGTAATGTTTTCAGCGCTTCTCGCTAAGTAATTTTAGATGGCTGAAGAAATAACCAATGCTTTTAAAAGACACCTCATGTGAAGTCATGCGCAACGGTTAAGATGAAAAGCAAAGGACACAGTCCTTATACACTGAAAAAACAAAAAATTTCCATGGGGAATTCACGGGGCGTTTGTTTGGTGTCAACACCCCAAAAACGCCTTTAAGTGCGTAAACCAGATCATTGAACACCCCGAAATCACCTCTAAAACTCCAGTGAAGTGTTCCCAAAGTGTAACTGAAGGAAACAAAAAATTCCCATTGGGAATTCACGGGGTGTTTGTTTGGAGTCAACACCCCAAACACGCTTTTAAGTGTGTCAACGAGATAATTGAACACCCCAAAACACCTCTAAGACTCTGGTGAGGTGTTCCCGAAGTGCATCATTATGCATCATTATGCACTTCGGGAACACCTCACCAGAGTCTTAGAGGTGTTTTGGGGTGTTCAATTATCTCGTTGACACACTTAAAAGCGTGTTTGGGGTGTTGACTCCAAACAAACACCCCGTGAATTCCCAATTGAAATTTTTTGGAGAAAAACAAAAGATTCCCATTGGGAGTTCCCGGGGTGTTTGTTTGGTGTCAACACCTATAGGTGTAAATCGCTTGGTAACACCCATGAAGGGTGTCAAAAGATAATGGTAAAACACTTGTGGTGAACATCTGCAGTGTCAGACACCCCTGAAACACCTCAAATAGTGTACGTTCTGCCGATACCGACACCTTAAGAGTTCCCCAGGAGGATATTTGGGGTGTTAGACTCCCCATGGATATTCCGGCTCGATGAATGACACCTATGTAACTTATCCGCAGTATCCACACAATTTACGGGTATCTGGAAGGTGCATGGAAAGATTCCGAAACAAAATCTATTTTTTATAGTGCGCATGGTGTTTCGGGGATGACTAACACCGTTCGTATTCTCTTGGTACTTCATGTAGTTATAAATGTTATTGGTTAGCTGGGACAGAGACATTCTAGCATAGAAATATTCAAAACACCAGCTTCGTTTATTAGTTACGGGAGCTTTCGAAAGACGTTCGTCTTTCTTCGTCAGCCTGTCTTTGCAGTGTCAGACACCCTTGAAATTCCCTTGGGTGCAGTTGGGTAGATGGCGCTGCGTACAGAGTTTATACAGAGTTTCTGTATGGTGTACAGAGTTTGCATTTATATTCTAATGGATTTGCTTCAACTACATCAAATAAACAAATCCACGATAATAAATAAATAAATTCATATACAATACTTCAAAGAAAACGCGTCGGGAAAATATTGGGAACATAATGCAGCCCTAGTAGCCCATGTTCAACCGCGTTGGCTTCCATGCGGCCGGCCGCCATACTAGTTTGAAACGTGCGCGACTGCGGGCGGAGGCGCTGGTGGGATTACGGTGTGTTGGGAGTATAAGTGTGTGCAAGTGAGTTAGAAGTGATCGTGAGTGGTGTCTTGGTACTCGAAGAGCTCCAGTTTTAGCAAAGGTGAGCTATTCTTGGCTAGCAATGGCACTGCTGCGGATTCCGAAAGACATGGTACTGGCCGCTGCAGGGGGGGGGGGATGGCGGCATACTCCCGATAGGGGTTCTTTAATATCCGAAAAATATATCCTCAGATTTTTTCTCTTGTGTTGGTGTGCAATTTAACACGCACCCTGCTTGGGTATTTATCCGAATTCGTAACCCCACTGGAGAGGGGGAGGGGGTTGGATTCTGCTTATTTCTATTATGCTCCGCGTATCCGTGCTGCTAGACTGATTTGCGATGCAATGTGGTGGCATTTGTTCCCTGCAACCTACATTCTGTGTGTAATTTCATAACGCTGTATCATATAGGTATGCATACAACTTATTGATTCCCCCATTGGGTACAGGGTGTCAAGTACAAATGTATCACTGGTAGTTTAAATGAATTGTTGGTAATAACAAGGTTGAATAACACCAATGATGAAAGTGGGTGTTCAGTTTATCACACATGTGAGCGTCATTCCCTGCAATGTCAGTGTTTGTTATCAATTTTACACCGTTACGAGTGTTACTAGGGTGTCTTAACAGTGTTGAAGTACACCCTTAATGGACGCCTGAAGGATGAGCTTAAATTCCAAAGGGCGTTAAAAACAACGTAACCCGAAGCTGATATTAAGGGAGCCTTAGATTAGGTCAAAGGTCAGGTCATTAAAGTTCATCGAAGGACAAATTTTGCCTCTTACGCCACTTGTTGACGAATCGGCGAATAACTTGTGAACGAATAGAGCTACAGCGCCGCCGAAAAGTACACCCAGTAGCTCTTTCAACGTTTTTTTTTTGTGGGTGTGAAATGCGTCCTCAGATTTGATCTAAGATCAACTAATTGCCCTACAGAGGAGAAAACCCATGAAATAAACGGTTTTACAGAAATTGTTTTCTGCAGCAATTCATTTGATTCAAAACCGACACGACATTTAATGTTCCGGCATCGTGTTCCTCGATTTGAGACGCGTCTAATTAAAAAATAATATGACCGTCAAATGTGATTTTGAAAATCTGACCAAGGGTTATGGTGATGACCCGACCAGAAAGGTCATGTTACAAATTAGTCGATTAGTATTGTCGAGCTGAACACATCTTATGTGTTTTCATCGCTCTAGCTCTATAAAAAGTTACTGTAAAAAAAAAACTGAATAGTGGATAGTGGATACATGTCATGACCTGATAGCACGTCTTGGGTATAAATAGAGTCACGGGTGCAATTTTCCCATTCAGTGTGTAATGTTTCTCTGTTATTCAATGTGTGGGGGCGTTAAGTATGACTTTCGTCCAAAAGAACACATTTCAATTTGTTCCCGTTGACTTATGCATAATGTTTGCATTCTTGACCTTACAGGTTACAGATATCAAGCTCCAGAGATACGTATTTATTCATGCTGTTAATCTTATCAATCGCCTAAAATTTGAAAGTGATCACTCAGTTAGTGTAGCATTGGCGAACAAACTCTTAATTTTCTGGGATGAGGTGAGGTCACTTGATGTGGCCTGGTGACCTGACCTTGAGCGACCTGGGTATGAATTTTAACATGTGCAAAAATCTTGGACAAAAGTGGGCAGGGCGCCGCCGTTTTTTAAGATCTGCGAAATACCGGAGGAGGGGGAGTGGTGTTCATGTTCAAACACCTCAAGCCCGCCGCGGAGTCATCCTGTACTTGTTTCTGTAGTCTGTACGTGTTTCTATTTCTAAGTGTCGTCCTTTCGTGTTTCTCCAGAATATGCCTCCAAAAGCCAAGAACATAAACATTTTCATGGAGCAAACGGTCTTCGAAGTGGAGCTCAGTTGCCATGTACCCACTCAAGTGCGCTCCGTTTTCAAAGAGCTGAAGCAAAGGGCAAAGAGATAGAAGGGCTCAGAGATCAAGCTTCGGGCCGCGCTGAAGTGAACAGAGCTGTAAAAGGTGTGTGTGGCGAGGGAGGGGGGGGGGGTAGGCACGACAGGCGATTATGAACTGCGAAGTGTGTGAATAGGGCTAGAGAGAGCTAGCGTCCTACGGCGACCTCGGTGAACACTGAACTGATACGGACTTAAGAGGGAGGAGGGGGGCTGATATGTAGTAGACATGTGCATGGATCCGAGTGATTGATCCATGATCTCAGTGGATCTTAAAGCAAACGACAAGCTTGGATCTATAATCCCATTGTATCCCACGTAGAAAATGTATCCTGAATCTCTGAATCTATGATCTCATTGCATCTTATAACAAACCAAAATCAGGATCTGAGATCCGATTGAATCCCACCACATGCAACCTATAATGAAACCATGTTTCCATGCGACTTCATGACAAATAAGTGCCATAAATAAAATTATGAATTGTGATGTGTGACCACATGATATCTCTGAAATAGAACCACTGCGAATTGCTACAAGTGATCCTAGAATATGTCTATGTTGACAAAAAGTGAACACGGATCTATGATCTCACCAGATCTCTAGGCAAACAGGTTTGGATCTAAGACCCCAATTGATGATTTCTCGACAAATTTGAGAGAGGGATCTATTATCTATGATCCCTTTAAATTCCAGGTCAAGGTACGTGGGATCAGATCCCAGATACATTTTTTTCGGATCCGTGCACATGTGTGGCTTAGGCTCTTCGTAAACTCAGCGTTAGCGGCAGGATTCAGTGATTTGCGAAGTGTGAGGGGAGGGAAGGATCCCAGAGAGCTTGAGAGAATATTGCTGCGAACTGGGTAGGAGGACAGGGACCTGGGAGAGATCCAAGAGAGCATGTTTTTGTTTTATTGGCGATTGCTATCATTCAAGACAAATCGTTCT